ACCAAACAAGTAACAAGTTTGCCATGCGTCCTAAATAATCTCTCCCTCAAATCCTCCTGTTGATTTATAGACATCAAGAGGGACTAAAAATTAGCATTGTTCCAAGGGGTAGCAGTTTCAATGTCACAACCTATCCTATGCTTGTTGAACCTACAAGAAGTTCTCAAGAGAAATGATAAAGTTAGCCCGAGGGCTAATGCCAGTGAACGGTATTCAGTAATGGTTTGATATTGCTTTTTTCCCTTTTCCCCTGACAGGCAAGATGAACAATGAGTTAAAACTGGAGGTACTTGCTTGATACTGGAAGGAAGGAAGGAAAGAAAGGAAAGGAAAGGAAAGGAAAGGAAAGGAAAGGAAAGGAAAGGAAAGGAAAGGAAAGGAAAGGAAAGGAAAGGAAAGGAAAGGAAAGGAAAGGAAAGGAAAGGAAAGGAAAGGAAAGGGAAAATAGAAAGGAAATTCAATTCCCCTTGCCCAGCTAAACAAAAATTCTAGGTTTTATACTCCTACGACCTAGATATAGTCAAAGAGATCATCCAGAATGTTCCTAAGGAGAAAGAGACCTCAACTCTCCAGTCAACTTCTCAGCTTAGAAAATATCTTTAAAGGGAATATTGAGACAGACACAAACAGATGTTTATGGATAGAAACAGTGAGAGACCTTAAACAGACCTAAACTCAGCGCTAGGGAGCAGTGACCACATTTTTTCAACTTCCCATTACTTGCCTGTAATAACAAATGACCCAGGCTCTTCTCTTAACTCTAGGGCTCTGAATTCCCATAAGGAAATATCACTTTTCGGAGAAGAAAAAAATCAAGCACATTTTCCTGCATAGTAAATGACGGGGGTTGAAGTGGGAGGTGGAATAAAGTACGGTCAGCAGGGTCACGGGGCTTTTCAATTGTTTGATCCAGAGTAACGAAAACCCCCATATTGCAGAGACTGAAGGTATGAACCTAAAAAGACTCTACATGGCTGTGCCAAGCTAAAGTTTGCAAATACCTACGCTATGAAGATGGCATGTTTTCAACTCCAGCTTGCAAGTTGTATTAAATAATGAATGATGTAAATCAGAATGTCTTATTTATTAACAAGTCCAGTGTGGCTTGTGTAACCACACTCCAAATTTAAATACGTGGTTCTTAAGTGCAACCACAATCCAAAGTTCTAGAACCCCCAATGGAAGGCCTGAGAAGTAAATATCAGAGTAATAAAAACTGATGCCCTTATTCCAGATGCAAACCCTTTTTCAGGTATGTGATTACAAACATCGTTGTTCAATCTGCGGCTTAGTTTTTAATATGCCTACTGTGTGTTTCACAGAGCAAAACTTTCAGATATTGGTACAGTATGTCTGGTTTTTTGGGTTTTTTAGCTGGTGTGTGCGGTGTCATATCTAAAGACATCACCAAACCCAAAGTCATACAGATTCTTTCTGTTTCTTTCATACTTTTATATTTCAAATTTTGGTTTGTCAGTCTTCACCTGTATGATGACCACGTCTATACCTAATCCTGCATTGTACCCCACATCTTTAAAATAAAATTTTTAAAAATTGGGTTGGTGGAAAAAACAATGCCTTTGACTGAATTTTTGGGAGCGCCAGGATTTTTTTTAAAAGTACAATTAATTGCAATGACAAAGCTTATTAAGGTGAGAGGACCAAAATCAATGTATTAATGGCATAACACTACAGCTGATTAACTAGGCCAACCATAAATTGCACACAGAGGTTCTGACAGTAGAAGCTGCAAATTCTATTTATGTTGTGCTAAGAGGAAAAATATGAAGACTTGTCTGCAATTATTACTCTCAAATCAGAGAATATCACCCAAGAAATTCCACAAAATATCTCTACTGGTCTTCATAAAACATGTACAATATAAAAATGCATGCTTTTCTATAATAATGTAGGTACACTCAACACTTCTGAACTATGCACTTAAAAACGGTTAGGATGGCAAATTTTATGTTGTGTAGTTGTTGTTGTTGTTTTTACCACAGTAAAAAGAAAAAAAAAAAGTATGGTTTATTTTGACCGAAACTTTTACCATTTGGGTGAAACGGAACTTGTCCTTTGCAATGCACTTTGGCACTTGATACAGCTGGGACATAAGTGGCCAGTTACATAATCCCAACAACAGGCTTCACTCTTGAATGTCATTATATGTGACATTGGTACTATTTTTCAATTCATTGTACGCTGCATGATGTAACCACTTCCAAATAACAGGAGCTGCCAGTTAGCAGTGTGATGTTAGGCAGGCGTGGTATAGATCTATAGATAGATATAAATCTAGATATATCACATCCGTGGGTGAAGAGTATGAGACAGGTACTGTGCTGGGAAGATTTTTAATAAGACAGGTTCAAGCAATGACTCTGAAAACAAAATGCCACCTTAGCTTAAAATATGCATGTACAAATAAAAAATATCCTGCTCCTTAATTAATCTATACATATATTTTTTATACATTCTTTCCATTTCCCTTCTCAGAAACTACGCACCATTAAACTAGAACTTTAGAACAGGTTATTTTAGGAATACCACTGAGTTCAATAGCAAAGTTAAAAAAAAATGTGTAATTTGGTTCCAGCTGTAGCTGGTATCTACTGGCCAAGGATTTAAAAGCTGTTCAAGAAAATATTAATATATTTAAAAAAGAACACAGATGGTATCACAAAAGAAGAGTGACACAAGCACATCTGTGATGTCATTGTGAAATCAGAAAAGAAGAATTCGAAATAATTCTATGAAGTGCTTTCCAAACCAGTATTGTGATAAAGTATTACAGATAAAGACCCCAGAGAACAAACTGGTTGAACTCAAACAAAGCTGAGGGACAGGGCAGAGAAACATACCTTTCCCCAGAGCTCACATGTACCCAGTCTGACCAATATTACTAAATTCATTCTTCCTCCTGAACACTTAGCCTGAGCACCTCACCACTCCCCCAATCCCAATGGGTTTTCAAATCAAAAGGAGAAAAAAAAATAAGAGTAGAAATTAGGAGTGCAATGATTGAATAAATAACTGTGACAAATGCTTTAGAAAATATTTTTTAAAATTCATTTTCAAAAACCCCAAAATAGGAATCTGCCATCAGACATTAAAAAAAGCAACGGCAACAACTGTGAGAACAGATATAAGAAAGCTCTGCTTAAATCTATCGATTTCATATATAACAGACAGCTAAGATCACAAAGGTTTGAAATAATATTTTTTTTAGATTTAAAGACAGTTTTATTTTCTTTTTCTCAGATAATGGCCTTTCCTATTAAAGGAAAAAAAAATAAAGTGAAAACAATTAGCACTATCTCATTCCTTTCTTCATTATATGCATCTATCATCTACTACAGAATTTAAAAACCACACACACACAATATCTAACTATAGAGAGGCATTTTCCATGGTCTCAAAACAGTCCGAAGAGCTCTGAATTCCATACAGCCTCCTCCATCTGACTACTGACACCCCATCTCATGAAAAAGGCAGATTCTGACAAAAGGCCACAGCTACTTTGGACCAGCCTGGTGAGCCTCAGCCAGCCTAGTCCAAGACCAGCACTGTAGGGGCCCTATCCACCCTTCCTCTCTAGCCCTGTCTCCTGCTCTCCTTGCCAAAGAAGATTGAAATCCTAGCATCCTAGACACAGCCTGACAGTTGGTTGCTCCCGGCACATCTCAGCTATGCTAGGCCGGCACATTCCCCTCTGCTCTGCTCTGCTCTGCTCTGTTGTCATTTCCTTCTGCCTGAGCCTTACACCATGAGCATCAGCAGCAGAACAGGTAACAGAGACTAGGAAGGTTCTTACTTACATTTAAAAACAGGTTATCTCAGTCAACTACGTTGGCAGAAACATGGTTGTGCGTTTTCGGGGGGGGGGTGGAGGGAGGTAATGCATGCGCACTCGACAACCGGAAGGCCACAGCCCAAGCCCCACTTTAGGGCTGCCTATCTCGGTGTATAACACGGTAAGGAAAACTGGGAGAAACTTTGCCATACAATCCTCCGCGTGGATGAATAATATTTCATGTCCATGAAAGGTATGAAATGACAAATTTCCTGAGAAACCAATAATAACAATAACACTTCCAGGAGAGGTGCCACAGGAATGCTAGAGAAAGAAGCGATGAGTTCTTGCTTGGTAATGTACTTGTCACCAGGCATCAGAAGAGGAGAACAAAAATACACAGTCCTCCATCAAGCCAGGACAAGCTCAAACATTTCCAGGGACAAGGGGGCCCAGTGCTAAAGCCAACATTCATCATGGTACTGCAGGCTGTTTTAGCATCCAACCCAGTCCTAGGAAATTATTCAATGGGCAATTAAGATTTATAATCCAAATGGTCTCAAAATCATATCTCTGGGAAGTCACGTCCAAATTAAATCAGACCAGGCTTTTAGACCTCCAAAGATCACATTTTCCCTTTTGAGCGAGTGCATTTCAACACTCAGAACTTCTTCTCTTACAAGATCATTTTCAAGGATGCAATCTACTAAGCAAAATCTGATATATGAAATGAAAAGGGAAATCGGTTAGCTCTAAACCTCAGAGAAAGATACTAAGGGAGAGGCCCTCACTTCCTTCAACAGATATCAGAAAGTTCATTATTTTAATCTTCTTTCTAGTAAATATCACTGGAAATAGCACTTTATGAAACAGGAATGTCCAAAACTAAGTCACTGTATACGGAAAGCCTAAAGCACACCCAGCAGAGCTCTGAAACTTAAAAGACACACGGTATTTATTCCCCAAATAAATATATATATTTGCATTACTGACATATATACAACTTATTTTAAAGTGTCACCCTTCTCCCTGCACTACCTGCCCCAAGTGGGTGAAACAGACACGTAACCGACTGATGGTCCAGCCCTGCATCTCTGGACTTAACCCCGTACACGGGACAGCATTCGCTTCCAGGACCTACCCACTTGACCAGCCTGGGCCCCAGAGGCGAGGAGAGAAAGAAGGAGGAAGAGCACCAGGAACTCACATTTCGGTGATGTTCTCAGGGTCTGCGCTGCTCGGCTCCAATCTCGGAAACGCCACTATGCCCGGAGAAGGGTCGCTGCACCAGATCCGAGAGGCGCTGCATTTGCAAGACGTGGGACAAGCAAGACCGGCCCTCCAGAAGCCCACCGCCAGCCAGCAGAAGCCCCAGAGCCTCGCCATGGCGGGCCCATGCCACCTTGTCCAGGACGACATCCCCAGCCGCCAGTGCCGGCCCGCGTGCGTGTCCCAGCGCTGCACCGGCCGGCTTCCCCCACCCGTG